CCCAGAAGATCCCCGGGTGTCAGAGATGTCGCAGGAACAGGGTCAGGGGACCGTTTGCGGTCGGCCCCGTAAGAGAGCGTCGCTGCGTGCACTGGGTGGCGGCAGGAGCTTGGAGAAAACTGGGCCGACTTGGACTCTGCCGGAGGCCGTGCCGGCAGGCTGGCGTAGCGGGCGTGGGAGCCGAGCCGGCGAAGCGCTGAAGGGGACCCACAAGCTTCCTTTTAGAGCAGCTGGGCGCGTGGAAGTGACGCGACGTCAGGGAGACGGGCGTGATGCGCGCCCACGGAGGGCGGCTCGGTCGTCCTAAGTGTTCAGGCGCCGCTGCAGAGAGAGCAGCCGTAGATGACAGCGCGTCTGTGAGGACTGGATAGGTAGTTTACACACAGAGAGGAACAATGCAGTGATACCCTCCGGGGAGGGGGGTCATATGCTTTTCATTGAATAAAAGTTAAAGGTTACTGTTTTAATCCTTAAATAGGAGCTTGTTAGAAAACTATATTAAGAACGCACGGTGAATTTTGTTTCTTAAAAAACCCTGAACATGAGAAGGATTAAAGAAGTGTAGGATTTAATATGTGATCCCTGTGAGAACCAGAACACATTTCCTGGGAGAAGAAAAGATTTTTAATTTTGTGACCTTTTTTTTTTTTTTCCCCTAGAGCAGATGATTATTAGAAGCTTTACCTTTTCTAAACACACGTGGCTTCTAGCGTACAGTTCAGTTATGTAAAGGGGGCCTCCACGTGCCTCAGCATGGGGCAAGTTCAGGGTGTGCGGGTCCTCTGAACAGTGTTTCTGCACATGGAGTTTTACCTTCTGTTCTTGAGCCTGACGTTTCTCTCTCTGGTCCTAAAAAGTTAAGTCAAAGTTTCTGGGCATGGTGGTTACTTTATTTTTTCCAGAAGAGCTGCCTGTAAAAGTCAAGTAAGAGAAGAATGTGTCACTTCTCTGAAAATTTCAGCGCGTTTTTACCCCTTCTTCCCACCTCCCTGTTGGCGTAATTGCTTCATTACTCAGACACTGCACGTGGCTGGCACTCCGTTCATTTGTACCTGTTTGCCATGTTTACTCGCGGAATTTCCTCCTTTCCTTCACCGTCACCCTGGTGCTAAGAGAGTAAAAGTGCAGAATGGGCGGTGGTCTTCCCCACGTGCAGCGAGCTCCCGGTCGCGGTCCCCGCTGGGCGGCTGCCGAGGGGCCTGAGTTCTCCTTGCCGGAAAGGCATTGAAACGTTTTGTAAGAGCCATCAAATGGTGTTTATTTCTGAAATTCTTCTTACTCCTTTTTTTTTTTTGTTCTGCTATAATTCTTAATCACACTTGAAAAATATTTGCAGACTGACAAATGTGATAGAGTGCAGTGTCAGTTCTGAAGCAGCCTTTCGCCGTTGGTGGTGGAGGCTGGCTTGCTATAAAAGGAGAAAAAAATTTATACTTTCTCATTATCACATAATAGGGTTGTGTGATAATAGCCACGTGACTGGGTCCCAAATGCTTTTTCGAATTCCATTATATGTGAGTATAAACCTGAGGATCGCATGGGAAGAGGTGTACCTAATTCCGTAAACCTAGAAGTTTGGATATTAAAGCAGAAAATGCTGTTTCCCGGACCAGGCCTTGAAAAAGTGCACAGGGACACGGCCTTTTTCTCTTTTTTTAATAGAGAAAAACTGCTAAAAGCTAATTAGCACCACAGAGGGCCGATGTTAACTGGTGATAATTTACCCCTGACCCCAACGCCAGGCACACAGCACGGTTGGCAGCATCGTTTTCTATTAGAGTCATAGCCTTATCTCCACAACTGACTTTAAAAATCAACTTCACTTTTAAAGGCTATTCTTGAGCATTCTTTTGTGCATTCCAAAAACACTTACCTCGCCCGCCCTCTGGTCTCTGAAAACAGGAGCCCGCTCAGATCTCCTGACAGGCAAAACCCACCGAGAGCAGGTCAAGACAAAGTCGTTTTATGCGGTTGGAAGGGCTGAAATGGTGTAGAAATAGGCAAAGGAAACATGTAATCATATTTCCTGCTAGGCAGCGGTTGTTGGTCTCTCAGAGGCGCGTGAAACCAGACAGGACGCTCACGGGGAAGAGGCCTGGCCCGGAGACAACTGAAAATGTTCTAGTAGCCACATGAAAAAGTCAAAGGAAATGGGAAGAACTCGTCATTGTGACCCTCTATTTTATTTAACCCAACCTATTTCCAATATTGTTTCATCATGCAATCAAAAGAAGCATTGTTCATGAGACTTTTCACCTTCGCTGCACCGAGTCTCTCAAACCGAACGTAGAGTTCGCACTCAGCAGACTCGGTTGGACCAGTTGCACGTCCGGGCCTGGGGTCGCACGCCACCCCCAGGGTCTCCTGGCAGCAGAGCTGTAGAACAAGTACTTCCTCCTCCTCTCCCGCTTTCCACTGCACTGTCAGCGACAGGCTCGTTGGGGCGGAAGGGCTGGCGGCAGCGTGACTGACGCCCACGGTCAGCTGAGCAGCGGCCCGGCCACCGCGGCCTGGGGACCAGTCACTCGGCGGCGCTTCGGGTGGCCTGCTTTCTCTGGGGCCACGTGCATTAGGGTCGTCCTCCAAACATTTAACTTGTGCAGAACGGAATGGTTAATTTCATGTTTCATAGAGAAAATACTCTTTGAGGAATTTTCTTTAGCTATAAGATATAAGGCATAACCGTTTTAAATATCTTTGGTTGAAAAATTTTTCTGAAGTAAAATTTTGAAGTAACCCAATCATCCCTGGCCTGTGTGGCTCCGTGGGTTGCAGTGTCTTCCCGTGTACCGAAGGGTTGGGGGTTCGATCCCCTGTCAGGGAGTGTACGAAGGCAACCAACCAATGTTTCTCTCTTTCTCTCACTCTCCCTTAAAAAAAAAGAAAAAAAGGAAAAACATGACCTCAGGTGAGGATTAAAAAAATAAAATAACCCAATCATACACTTTTTTATAATACTTGACAAGACTTCCATTACAAGCCTTTTTTGGAGGCAATAATTAAATACATACATGTACTATATTCCTTCCCATTGGCTTTTCTTAAAAAGCATCTGAAACTTAAAAAACAACATTATTACAAACTTCAGAATAAAGGCCATGAAATCAGAGGGTTTGTTTCTGCCTCCTTCAGCTATATTTATTGTTTGAATGTGCGGGTTCCCTACAAATGAGCATTTTTTCGAGGTTAGATTTTAATAGTAAAACCTTCCTGTTAAATGAGTTCTGGCTTATGCACCTTGTGGCTAAATGAACTGCGCTCTGAACTTTTATGTGAGTCTGCGGAGCTCAGATGTAAACGGGGAAGATCACAGCGTTGGGGGGCGGCCCTGCGGAGGGCTTTCTGCATAGCTGATGAGCGCGGCAGCGCAGTCGTTTGCTCAAAACCACGGTTATAATTGGACCCAATGGGGGTCTCCGCCTTTGATCTGATCAGAGTAGCTGTGACTTTACACTGGAAATGTCACCCCTGTGAAGGTTTGTCACCTGTAGAGCTGGTCTGTCCTCTGATGCCGCGCTCACTTCTCATTAGCATGATTCAAAGTTTAGTTGTTAATTAGGTTGACACTTCAATTACCATCATCATCATCATCGGCAAGAGTAGTTAGGGCCGCTGTCATGAAAATAAAAATATCCCTTCCTTGCATATACTCGGGTATACGGAAGGGGGAGGTGACAATGTTTGATACCTGGCCGTTCCGTAGGGACACGAGCCGGCTCCGAGGAGGGAGGGGTCCAACCAGAATTTGTCTGATCGCGTGGTGTACACATCGGGGCACCTCCCTCGGAAAAAGGAGTCTATGTCCGTAGTATGAGCGCGGTTACAAAATGTTCATCTGAGTAAGGGCTGTTCTTCAGCAATGTGCCTGCCTTAAAATACAGACCTTGAAATTAAAGGACGGAAATGTAGGAAAAATTGTATCAACCTGAGAGCCCTTTTAAAATCATGTCAGTTCGTGGCCCTGGCTGGTGTGGCTCGGGGCGGGGCGGCGTCCCACAATGCAAAATGCCACCGGTCAGGGCCCACGCGTGGGCTGCGGGCCCGGTCCCCGGGTGGGGCGTGGGAGAGGCAGCCGATGGACGTTTCTCTCACACACTGATGTGTCTCTCTCTTTCTCCCCTCCCCTCTCTCTAGAAAGAAAGAAATAAAATCTTTAAAATCGTTCTAATTCCCAGATAGTAGAAATTGGAATAATTTAAACATGTTGATATTTTAATCTGATTACTAGTTCATAAGGCAGTGACACTGAAGTCAAACTCCCCATGTGGCGGTGGCAGACAGCTGACAGAACTGGGTTTACACGTCACTTTTGTCACGGATCAGCTCTCCAGTGAGGGCAAGCTGATTCCCATCTTTGAGCCCCTATTTCTTCATTCACAGAGGGGACATGAATGCTTTTCTTAGAAGACCATGAAGACGGTCAATGAGACAGTGTATAACATTTGCATAATATAATTCTCCGTCACAGTAGGTTCTCAATGACTTTACCTCCTTCCCCTCCTTTTATCTAAAAATGGTCAAAAGTATTCGGCAAATGACTGGAAAATTACATATGCAAATGAGACTTCCCAAAATAAAAATAAATGGTAAGCGATCCTGAAGGATCTGTGACAAACAGCCTTCTAGAGCAGAAATGAACAAGACCCACCTGGTTTCATCTTGAAATGAGTAGGCACACATGTCGTAATTGCTAAAAATCTGCAGGAAAGTGGCTCACAAGCAGTTTACCGTAAAATAATTAAAGCTTATTTATGTCAAGAGGCCTTGGGAAAAAAAGAGAGCAGAAAGCGATCTGCATTAGCACGTTTCCCCGGGTTCCTGCCTCCGTTTCAATTAGCAGGCCAGCGGGTGCTCCGGGTAGTTACGGAGAGAGAGCTCCCGGGGAGGAGGCCGCGTTCGGGGCTGCCCTGCAGACGCTGCGGTCTGCCTGCTCATGGGGTTTGTACCTCGCTGGACCAATTTCCGAGGTGTTAATTGAACTGTTCCTCCCTGTCACGCAGGTCTCGGCCCTCAAAAATAAGCTGAAGAAGCAGTCCACGGCGACGGGGGACGGCGTGGCCCGGGCTTTCCTCAGGGCGCAGGCCGCCCTGTTCGGGTCCTACCGAGACGCGCTCAGATACAAGCCCGTAAGCCGGCTGTTTTGTGGGGTTCCGTCCGCTTTGTAACAGTTCTTGGGAGTGGGGCAAACAAAACCCAGCCTTTCAACATCACACCTTAAAGCGGTATCTTAAAGGTCTTTTAAAATCCAAAACAATGTGCTTTTTTAAAAAAAAAAACAAAACATTATGTTCCATCTCCAATTTCTTGACTTTCTTGGTTTTAGGTCTTTTAGGAACCTTGAGTTAGTATTCCCCACATTCTTCGGCATATCACCTAATTTATCTTTCTAAAGCTGGAATACTTGCCTCGTGACTGATGAATGGTGTGAATGCTTTTTTTTAAAAAAACCACCTGATCTTGTTGACATCATTAAGAAATTAACCAGACAATTGGATCTATTACTTTAATGAGTTTAGAAATAAGGACAAAATGGACGTTTAAAAACATTGGAACTCAAAAATCATGCCCTATCTGGAGATTTATTGGCTTCATAATTCATAATGGGCTCATCTGCTTAGCATATTCCAGCTCGTTTCACCATTTCTTTTTTTGTTCTAACGTCCTAAAATGGTTATCATGGAGAATCGTAGCCAAGGTTGGAGCGTGTTCAACATGGTATACATCAAAATACGTTTGTTTCTCCCTCTGAACGATCGGTTCAGTATGTTAATCTGACTTCATGGGAAGGACCTCACTGCCCTTCCGTGGCCCGACAGATCAGCGGGGGCGGGGACAGAGGCCCGCCGCCCGCAGGACCCCCGCTGCTGCCTGCACAGCCCCCGCCCGCTCCCGGGCTCCCCCAGACCGCCGCCTGCGCGTCTGGGGAATGAGAATCTTTACACCCGCCTGCCTTTCAGGAGTGCTGTGTAAGCCCCACCGTAAACTGGGGCGCACTAACCTAAGGTGAATGGGGGGACTCTTCCTGTACTGACTCCTGGCTCCCACCCGGGGCTCGTGGCACCTCCGAGGAGCCGCTGAGTTACGGGGCGGCGTCTTTAAGGGGGCGGGCCGAGGAGCTGCTGTCCCGAGACCCGTATCTGTGCCTAGTGGGCAGGCTGATTTGTTTTGAAATATGTCTGTATTTTTTAAAGCATTATAGAACTTACAGCTCTGTACGTAGGATGCATGTGTCCTACAGGGGAGTCTTCAGAAGTTACATAGTTATAAGGTCTTGTTCTTTGAGAGACTGGAAGGCAGCCACCGGTACTGCAATAGCACGTGTTCATATTCAGATTATTAAACAGCAGCGATGACAAAAATGAGTTTCAAAGACAGTGACTGATTTGAATTGTCAGATTTTAAAGGAGAGATTGCTTTCAGGTCCGCAGTGCAGGAGAGAAAGTTAGAAGTATCGCTTTGCTTGAATTATGCCACATTTAAGTACTTAGTAATCTTTACAGTCTACATTTTCCCTCTTCCTTCTTTAATTGAGTACATGATTTCAATGACTTTGACTTTTTTTTTAAACCTCTTGAAAGCCCAGCTTCCCGATATCTGTGGGAAAATACGTAATTTCACCATAGAATTTTATGTTTATCGATCACATTTTATTGTAAATGGACTTGTGAATTTATCTGCATTTTCCCGTTTCTGCCTGAGGTTCTCTTCCTTCCTTTTCGCTGCAGTTCTCTCTGGGGGGGGGGGGCGGGACGGTGCTTCCGTGTCGTATGCCTTTACCTTTCTGTCAACTCGATCTTTGAACGAAGCTTAATTTTAAAGGTACACTAAATGTACCTAAACAGCGCTTTCTGTCTGCGAACTGATTATACATATTTCCTTGATCATGCCTCTCCTCCCTTTTAATATATTATTTTATTATGTTGTTATTTTTAGGGAGACTCATAATTTTTTAATTTCTATTAAAATAGTCACTGACCACTGAGTGCCCAGTGGGTTCTAGGCATGGATAGGCCCTTTAGATAAACTCTTTCATTTAATCTTTACAAGCCTCTAAAATGCTACCCTTTTCATTGTAAAGATGAGGAAAGTGGTATTTCTGTACCTCGCTGAGGTCCCAGCTAGCACGTGTTGGGACGTGCGCGGGATTCTGGTCTTCCCGCCTCCTGCTCTGGCCCCAGGTGTGACGTGTCTGTTCTCTGTGGCGTGGGCCATGATGTCACACATGCCTTGAGATGAAGTTCCTGAAGTCGTATTTCTCCTAAAGGAAGGGGCATGGAAGGCGTTCCACACACGCTTATGGGAAGACAACACGTGATACAGAGCCTTAGAATGTTCTCAGAGGAACGGGTGGTGTGGGCACCGCATGGGTACCTGAGAGTTGGGGAAACCATTTGTCATTCCTGCCGCGCATTTCTGTGCGTGTTTCCTCTCCCTGGGGGTCCGCTGCCACCGAGCCACTTGTCTTCCTTCCCCCAGCCTTGACAGTGGCCGGGTGGCCAGGGAGAGCACAGGGGTACAAATACTCATTTTCAAAGGCAGATGCTAAGTATGTGGGCTCCGTGCTGCCCAAGAACAACTTCTTTTACGACTTAAGCACTTAACGATGTCTGAGCGACAACTCTGAAAACCTGGTACTTTGCTCACGGAGCCTAATTTACGCTCTCCCTGTGACACGGAGTCGCGGCCGACAAATCAGTGGTGCCTGCAGTGGGTTGCAGAGGCAAACACAGCTCCTTAGAGTTGTTGGAAAGCGATTTGAATAAAATAATGGCTATTTTACACTGGGGGAGGGCTTAGCCAGTAGCAAGTTAGCTACTTTTTAAGACTTCAAACGGTGAGCTCAAACCAGGGTCCCGGATGAACCGTGGAACGCCACGAGAGCGTAGCGCCCGCCCAGCGCCAGGCTGCCTGCGCTCCGCCCTCCTTCGGGGGCGGGCTGCCTGTGTGTGACTTCGGTGCTTTGGTTTTCTCGTGGGAAAACAAAATAAGGTCATGGTATTTGGGGTATTTTTTAGAAAGATATATTAAGTGACTTAGAACAGTGCCTGACGTATAGTCAAGGGCCTATATATCAGTTACTATGATGAAAAATGACATTTTAGATGTAGAAATTTGGTTAGGAAATCCCTTTAACGTAACGAAAACAAAACACCCTCTCGCTCCCCTAAAAGAAAAAAGTTGTCATAAACACGAGGCCACTTCGAGTTGCTGGACTTTTTTCAGATACACATGTTATTCGGAATACGCCTAATTCAAATGAAGGCGATGAAATCTTTTGAGGGGATTTATTTTTGCACTGAGGGAGTGAAACAGCGATGTCCAGAGTCCAAGGCGTCTTCCATTAGGAAGCTGTGTCCTAGAAGGGCTGTGTCTACCGGCCTGAGACCCGAGCGCTATGCGGAGGGGTCGGTTTGACTCGGCTCCAGCCGAGGCCCCCTGAGTGTGGCCTGGGTCTTACCCCTTCTCTACGACCCGCCACGCGCGTCTTTAGGGAGGCTGGTGCTCCCTGAGTTTGTGCCGACGCCCGGAAATTCTCCCTTTCTCTCCAGGGCGAGCCCATCACTTTCTGTGAGGAGAGCTTCGTGAAGCACCGCTCCGGTCCCATGAAACAGTTCTTGGAAACGGCAGTGAACCTCCAGCTCTTCAAGCAGGTAAGAGGGGCCCTCCCCGGGTCCTCCTGTGACAGAGGACGGCAGGACGAAACAGGAATGCCTAAGACATTTGGATCCCTTCCGCGCTCTATCTAAACCCCGAGGCCTATCTTTGATAGGACTTCAATAATTTTTTCTTTCCTTTGTAATTCTAGAGCTATCTGTGGCATGGAGCTCCAAAAGTATTATGTAATAATAACTTTGCTGTTAAAAAATTCCTCATTAAAAGTGCCAAGCTATATACATGTCTATCTATATGTATATGTGTGTGTATGTGTATATATATATACACACGTATGTGACTCAGTCGTACAAAGGAAGGAAATCTCACCGTTTGCGACGGCATGGATGGATCTGGAGGATAATATGCTAAGTGAACTAAGTCAGAGAAGACAAATACCACACGATTTCACTTGTATGTGGGATTTAGTGAACAATAAAAATGAACAAAGAAAACAGAAAACACTTATTCAGAAAACACCTTGGTCCTGCCACTTAAATGTGCAAATTTTTTACGACCCGGGAATTCCACTCTGGATTACGCACCCACAAACCATCTTCTAAAATTGCTCATAATAGCAAAACCCTGGCAGTAATCTCGGCTGTTCGTCAGTATCGAAATAAATACATTTTTATATTCATGCCATAAAACACTGTACACCGGAGAAGCGAATGAGCTGCAGCAAAACAGTGTGAATGAATGAAAGGAAAGGAACTGATCCCTGAATTAATGCGATGCGTCCTTTCGTGAAATGTTCAACAGCAAGAAAAATTAAATGATGTGCTATTTAGGGAAACGTCTGTGCAATAAAATGGTAAAGAAGGAGGGACATGGGAGGCTGCAGGGATCGCGGGGAGCCCGGGGGCATGCACGGCGAGCCTTCTGAGGAAGGGAATGTTCTGCTCGCTTGTTTTATTATGACATTATTAATTACTTACGTTGTTATGATTTAAGCTATCCGAGGGTTGTATAAAAGGCACATTTTTGAACCTGCTGAGGGGCCAGTAGTCGGCGTGGGTCCCTGGCAGGTGACTTCTGAACCCTCTGAGCCCCCGTTACTGTCTCCGTGACCGGACAGAGTCTGCCTCCGAGGTCACGCAGCCGGCGGTGCCTTCCCGCTGTCGCGGCCCGTGATACCGTGAGATAAACAGAGCGGAGCCGGGTGCGGCCCGCTTGGATAAGCTCCTCTCCAGATAGCGCACTTGGAAGGGATCCCAGAAGCAGCTCCTCAGGTCCGCCGCTCTGACAGCTCCATCCTTCTCTCGCCTTACGAGGATTTAAGCCTTTCTCTTTAGGTCTCCTCCCTGCAGCCCAAAAGCGGTCTGTACGCGACTTGACGGCCTTATCCCTGCTCTGGCTTTTTGCTTTTGATCAAAGCCCTGTGGTTGCATAAGGTGTCGGCGTAGGGGGGACGCGGGGTGAAGGCCAGTGGGAACTTGCTTCTATTTTTGCAGCGTTTCCATAAATCTGAAATCATTTCAAAATGAAGAAAAAAAGTTTAAACAAATTGCCAAGAAGACACACCAGTAGAACGCCCATGTGAAAGCACTGTCACACCCTGTCCGCGGAGCCCCCCGCGCCCTCCTGCGGCCCTTCGGGCCCTGCACGCCGCCCCTCCGCCCGGGAGGCCCTGTTTTCACGGGCAGGGTGACAGCAGCGGAGTCCTCATCCCCTTCCCCACGCCTGTCAGCGCGCTGGCACGTTGGCGGCGCGGCTGCCGGTACGGGACTTGCTGTGAGGCTCCTGTTTCTTTTTGTCTGCGATGTGACTCACGTGTCCCGTGCTGCCTCTCCTGGTGGTTTTCCTCCGCGGCCAGTACAGTCACACCTACCTTCTCCCCGTCCCCTAAAAGCCGCAGCTCTCTGAGTCTTCCCGTGTCACTGGCCCTGCTTACGGGAGACCGCAGCCACCTCTATGTCCTGAGCCCCCACTCTGTCTTTAGCCCAGACCCACATAAAGGTAACTGTGAGTGTGTAGGATGTGTCTTCATACAGGTGGCTTCATGTGCGTATGCCCCGTGTGTACGCATCGTTCACGTGCACACCAACAAACCCTCTTGCCTCCCTTCTTTTGGGAGCTGGTGCCTCCCTGTTGCTCTGACCGGGGCGCATGTTCTTCTCAGGCCGGCACCGGCCTCCCGCGCCTCCACTTCCCGACTGTTCTCTGTGTTGTGTGGGCTCCGCGTCCCCAGCTTGGCCTCGTCTGGCCGGCCTCGTTCTCGCCGGTCTTGGTGCCGCTGGCTCATGCGGGGCGGCAGTGTTTCAGGCCCAGCCGCAGTCCGCCCTTCGGTCTGTTCCCAGAGCGCTCAGCCTTGCTGGGGAGCAAACCCCGCGCCTTCCCTGCGGGCTGAGGGCGGGGGCCAGGCCCGGCACACAAAAGCCCCGCTCTCCTGGCCTCCGGCAGCCTGGTTCCCTCTCCGACGCGTCCCCAGACGCCCTTGGTCACCGCCGCCCGGAGGGATTCGCTGCCCCTGAAGGTGGTTTCATGCCTCACGCGTTGGAACTTGGATTGTCAGCAGTGTTTAGGGGTGCATCGCAGGAGGGTGAAGGACAATGGTGGTGAGTGAGTACCATAGCATTTATTGAATACCGACTTACGCTGGGTTCCGTTCACATGTTTTACCTAATAACCTAGTTTAATCTTCACAATCACCGTGTCAGTACATACTCTGCTTTTGCCACTTCTCAGGCTATGAACCAGATCTATAGGGAGGTTCAATAACTTACTGAGAGTTCACGCAGTAGCTGGGAGGTGGTCGAGCCAGGATTTGAATTAGGGAGCCGTTAAAATGTCCTTGCGGAAGTGAGTGCATGAGTAAGTGCGTGTTTGCCGTCCCGTCCCGTGGCCTCTGGTTGGAACTCTCTCTCCATCTGCCGTTACCCAACTCCCTCCTTCTTTAAGATGCAGTTCCCACATCCCTTGTCCTCATTTCTTGGCCTTCCAGTCGTCTGTAAATTCCTTTCCTTTTAGCATTTTGGAGTCACCCTGTGTAATGGCCATTTGGCCTGTGTAATGATTGGTTTGCCTCCTCTTTGAGCTGTAGGCTCTGTAAACCTGCAGATCATTTTTAAAGTGTTTTTGTGTCTTAATGACGAATAGGTAACAGGCACTTAATATTGTTAAATAAGGAAATCAAATAAAAACTGCTGAGTGACTCCCTGTCAGAAGGAGTAGGCGTGAAAATGCTTTGAGAATTTTGGTAGATGGCGAGCTGATAAAATTGAATACAATGGAACTCATTTAGCGATAATCCAAAAATTGCAGGAGTCCAGTGTTGCTGGGTTTTGAATTGAGTGGGGTCTATAATTTTAAGCCTGCAGTCACGTAATGGTGTATTATGTGCAGTGAAAATTCTGTGAGAGCCCGGGCCCTCTATATTTTCTGCTGTGACCCACTTTCTCTGACTTAATAAGATGCTGGATAAAAGGAGTGGGTCAAAAGCCAAGCATTTCCCTTTCATGTAAGCGGGAGGTTTTGGAAGATTTCAGAAAGCTTTTAACATAAACAATAAATTCTTATAAATTTCTACATTTTCCTCTTAATCTTTTTAGAAAAGACACAGAGTTGGTTATTTATGGTACGTCACTGAGAGCTGAGCTCAGGACGTGCACCAGCCGCACTGAGGGTTCCGCAGTTCTGGGTGTTGGGGCGTGAGCTGCGTGGTGGGCACGAGGGGGCCGCTGTGTCGTGCACACGCTGTGACAAGAAGAGAGGAGAGATGAAACGCAGCCCAGGGGGGCTGCGGAGCCGCAGCGGCGGAGGGGGGCGCAGCGGCAGGAGGAGGGGGTGCACCGGCAGGAGCGGGGGGGTGCAGCGGCAGGAGGGGACGCGCACCGGCAGGAGGGGACGCGCACCGGCAGGAGGGGGCGCAGCGGCAGGAGGGGATGCGCACCGGCAGGTGGGGGCGCAGTGGCAGGAGGGGACGCGCACCGGCAGGAGGGGGCGCACCAGCGAGAGAGCACGTCAGCAAGAGGGTGCAGGTTTGTAGGCGCCCTTGGTAGCTAACTTCGGGTGGTGCCCTAAACAGTGTCTTCCTAAGTGTGGTCTCAAAGCAGCTGCGTCAGATTGACCTACAAAATCCACTGAAGATGCACACGCTTCAGCCTCACTTTCAAACATTCTGTGTCAGCAGGCCTGCATTAAAACTCAGGGATCCACATGATTCATGAAATACCGTAACGAGGCCCACACCAAAATTTCAGAAACGTGCGCCTCAGTGTTCCTGAGCCACGGCCTCATTTGCCCGTACGATCTGCGCGTCCCCCGTACACGGGGCCATGGGCTTGGTGCTGGACGACATGGGAGAGCAAAGCAGAAAGGGGTGTCTGTCTCTGTGAGTCTTCTCTCTGTAGTCGGGGGGAGGCAGTCAACCGAATCCGTTAAGTAGCGCGTTCAGAGATAAGTAATGAGGAGAAGGAAATAGGACAGGCACGGGGGACTCCCCGGGGTCAGGCAGGAACTGGACAGTCAGCGCGGATTTCAGGGGGTGGCCCTGGACCACCGTCCTGTAGGGCGATCGAGGTGACCGCAGAGGCGAAGAGGACTTGGAGGGCGATTCCTGAGAAGGGGCGGCCGTTCGGACTGGGCGGTGGAAGACACGACGTGAACTGGCCCGGTGATGGGTCCGTCCTAAAACTGGGACCGGTGTATGTTCTGGAAGATTCAGTCTGAGGTGTGCGAGGCGGAGGAGCCCAGGCCGTGGCGCGTTCCCATCAGGGGACGGGGAAGACAGTGGGGAGAAAAGGCGAGTTCAGCGTCGGACATGATGAGTTTGAGACGTCTGCTAGACGTCCAGGCAGCACTCAGGTCCAGCATCTGGACAGATGAGACCGAGGAGACAGGCCGGAGGCAGGTACCCGGGGGCCGGCGGCAGGTAGACAGCATGTAAAGCCATTCGGCTGGAGAGCAAGGGAGATTGCCAAAGGCGTGCACCTGAACACCGGTGACATCTGGCCCCGGGGCCGGGAAATGGCGGAGGGCAGCCGCAAAGGGCGCCAGG